ATGGTGCCCGGCAATCGTAGACTATGTGATGCAGCAGTGGGTGCCTCAGAGGGAAAAGTTTGTCAAATATTGGACAAACCAAGTTCTTCATTTTGGAAACACTACTACATGTAGAGTTGAGAGCGCTCATAGAGCTCTGAAGGACTGGATTGATTCTTCCACCTCTGCTCTGGATACACTGTTCGAGAGAATAAACAAGGCTATTGATACTCAGAGGAACGACATCAAGAACTCTCTCGAGGACTCCAGACGGCGACATGGCACGATGTATAGCCATTTCATATTTAAGATTCTCCATGGTCGTGTGTCACACTACTGCTTGGGGTTGATTCTGAGCGAGCACACCAGGATGAGGGAGTTGGGTGATGAAGTGGCTATTCGGTGCGGATGTGCTATATCGGTGACTCATGATGCCGTTCCTGGACGGGTGGAATGATGTGGTTGCAGATGGTAACTGTGGATTTCGGGTTGTGGCTGATGTGTTTCAGATGGGTGAAGACAACTACGGTTTAGTGCGTCAGTTGATGTACAGTGAAATCGCCTCAAACCGAGCTGTTTATCGCCACGTGTACGGACAGGACTTGGATAGGTCTCTGCAGCGTATCCGGTGGGGAGGAGGACGTTGCGGTCAAAATCATTGGTTCGACGCGCCCCTTGATCTCTTCGCCGTTGCAAACATCTACAAGTGTGCAGTGATGCATTTCGGCCTTGGTTTGCATGGTCGAGCTTACTATCCGTGTACCACGGTTCTGCCTTGGTGTTCGCGTGAGACCGTCACCAGACCGGTAAGAGAGGTTGCTATTGGATTTCTGGGGCCGTCATACAGACATTTCATCCGACTGGACCTGTCACCCGATTTTCCGGTCCCACCGATTATACCAACGTGGTACACCATTCGTACAGCAAGCGTAGAGGGCTGGGATGCGTTATATCATGACCGGGTGCAGCAGTGGAACAATCTAGTTGCCTTTTCTATGTGACCTAATATTGCTATTGCTATGTTTTTCCCATTAATTTAATTTTCGGATTCTAATTTTCGTATTTAGTTTTCCCATTTAAATGTCAACCTGTATTTAGTTTTCGTATGCCCACTAATTACAACTTAAAATAAAAGTTATAAAAACTAAAAATATAATGTCAAATTCTAAGAACTTAAAATAATAATTATAAGAACAGATAATGTTAACTTTTACAAACAACTAGGAAAATGTTTTATAAATGCACTGCCGACATATCAATAATCTCTCTGTGACGCCCACTGCCACTGCTCAAGGGCCCGTTCCAGTTCATCAATAACAGCTCTGCCTGTTGCAGTCGTCATGTTGTCCCTCTCCTCAAAAAGTCTGTGTCCCAACTGCGTCATCTTTCCCATCCACTACACATAACAAAACACATAAAATTCAATAACGACGTATTATGAGACGTATTATATGAAAAAAAACACAACTACAAATGTTTTATGAGACGTACCGCATCCACGGCAGTGGGCGGTGGCACATCATCATCATCGGCGTCGTCGCCGTGGTGGACGTCTCTGATCAACCTCGGGTGCGAGTGCCGGTTGTACCACTCCATGTAGTGCTGGTCACACATGGCAGCCACCCCAGTTGGCGGCCGCTGCAACTGCTCAATCCATATGCGGGCAACCATCGGAAACTGCTCCCACGTGCCAATCATGCTTGCCGGCCATTGGACGACGTACTCCTTCAACGACGCAGATCGGACGGCCTTACTGGGCCATGCTGGTGGAGGAGGAACAACTTGGACATATCCAAGCTGGCGAAGACAGCGCTGCGGCATGTACGCCTCTACGATCTCACGATACTGAATCAGTCCCGTGTAGAGGGTCCTGGGTACCCTATTACTAGGGTTCTGGCCGAAAGGCATCCAGTTCACCTGCACATTTTTTAAAATTAGTAAGATTCATACAATAAACACATCAAACTATAAAAGTAGAAATAATTTAAACACTTTACCTCTAATGGGGACATCCTGTCAAGCAATAACCGTATCGATCGCAGGCGGTCAATGGACTTCTTCTCGACACGCGGACTCCACGCACAGGCACGTGGCTGGCCATCCCCAATAGGAACCGGGTCGCGGTGTGGTCGAAACGCCGGGAAATACTCGTATATCCACGTCTGTAACAACGTCATACATCCAGTGATACCTGCCGCATCAGCCCGGCTCGAGAATCCTAACTGGCGATACATGTACGCTAATGTAGCCGACCCCCAAGAAAACTGGCCTACTCTGTCGGGCTCACACGCGTCAACTATGTCGCGTGGCCTGAGCTTGTTTCCGCTCTTATCCGGAAACAAGGTACACCCGAGAAGAAGAAAAACATATGCAGCCAGCTGTGTGTCCTGCGTCCTACGTGAAGTGGGGTGCAAACATCGCTGCAAAACTGCTGCGATCTTAACACCGCCGTGATCCCACACACCAAGTGCCGCTGTGTACAGCGCAGCCCTATCCACCGCCAACAGCTCCGCCAATAAATCTGCCTGATCCGCATCTGTGACAACAGATGCTCGGTTTCCCTCTACGGGAATCCCAAGGATGGCCTCGACGTCATGCAACATGATCGTCATCTCACCGAACGGAAGGTGGAAAGAGTTCGTGTCCGGCTGCCATCGCTCAACGAAAGCCGTGATCAGCGTCGAGTCAATCCTCTCATGCATGGTGGCAGGAAGGTGGCTCACTCTAGTGGCCCTCAATCGGCCGACCATCTCGCTCTCCTCCGGCCAAGCCTCAGCCCAACTACACAAGAAGTTACAAGTCCTCTCCCGGGTTTGGCATTTCAAAATGCCGCTATCCAAAGCCCGCTCTTGGTCCTCCCAAATACGGGTAGCGATGTGTCCTAGAAAGCTAGGAATCACACTCCCGTCTATAGGTCCCCCAGCCACCTCGCCCCTCACCACCCAAGAATCATTAACGGCCCTCGACCGTTTTCTGCTAACCGCAGACACAGTGGACGCAGATGATGTGCCAGATCTACTAACAAATCTACCATCTCTACCCTTACGCACGTCTACCCTACGCGTCTCATACACATCATCAAGCCTCTGACTGAATGGACCGTAATCATCATATGGTCCACTCTGATCGTCCACATCCTCATCTGCATCCTCCTCCTCCTCCTCCTCATCACCATCATCATCTTCATCATCCTCAGAATAGTGCACCCGTTCTCTACGAGCCGAGGCCGAAATACCACGGGATCTAACGTGTCTGGGCCCCGAGCTCTCCATTGAGTTCATCGTACTTCTCATAATGTCCATACTCTTCCCAGCCCCAGAACGAAAATACGATGCCTAACACAAAATAACAAAACATGTAATATGCAATATAAACATGTAATATAAACATAAAAAAAGTAATTAAAATAAATAAATAAAACAATATACATATGATGGAAAATAAATTAAAAACATTACAAAATATTAACAACCTAAAAATAAAAAAATTAATAACCTAATAAATAAATAAATAAAAAATTGGAAAAAACAAAGCAAAAAAAAAAATTACCCAAAAAAAACAAATTGGAAAAAACAAAGTGAAAAATATAAAATTATAAAAACTTAAAAAAAGAAGAACATCAAAATTTTAAAAAAAATTTATAACAAAAAAAAGGGAACATAAAATTTTTTTAAAAAAAACCAACAAAATTTAAAACAAAATAAAAAAAAAATCAGAAACATAAAATTTAAAATTAAAAAAAAGAAAAACAAATTTAAAAAAAAATCAAAAAAAAAATAATTATTTTCGAAAATTAAATTTCAAATTTAAAACCAAAAAAAAATTAAAAAAAAAAATAAAAAGGCGGCGGCGCCTAGGCCAGACGCCGTGACGGTGGCGGCGGCGTCTAGCCCAGACGCCACTACCACGGCGGCGGCGCCTAGGCCAGACGTCGGTGCCGTGGTTCTGGCGCCTGGGCCAGACGCCACCGCCACCGTCACGGCGTCTGGCCTAGGCGCCGCCGCCGTGGTAGTGGCGTCTGGGCTAGACGCCGCCGCCGTGGTGGTGGCGTCTGGCCTAGGCGCCGCCACCGCCTCCGACCTTTTTTTTTTTAATTTTTAAACACAAAATTAATAAAAAATACCTTCTCGCCGGAAAACCGCTGTCCACCCGCCGCCTGTGCCGCCACTTCCTTGCCGGGCCGCCTCGACATCGCTCGGAAAGTTTTTTAGAGAGAGAAAGTGGAAGTAGAGAATTGAGAGAAGAAATTGTGTTTTTTACTTTGAGGGCAAAAGTGACAATTCACTCTAATTTTGTGGGCTTTATGTGGAGATTCGCGGGCGATGTTTAGCAATTGAGAAAAGGGTGGTACATGAGTAAATTCAATGGGGGAGGAGGAAATCACAATTACCGAGAAGAAGAGGAAGAAGAAGGAGATAAAGAAGATCGAGCAAGAAGTAGAAGGAAACAACAAAATAAAAAGTTAGTACAACAGTAAATACAAAATATTCATACACTTCCTTATTTTTTTTTTTACAAATATATCATTTTGAGAAATACTTTATGTTTCTCTAATTGAGAAACCGAGGCTCCCTTTAGCTAAATTATCAAAACCAAGTAAGTTTGCTTAATCTAGGTTGTTTGAAACTAAAACCATTTGTCTTCGAACATGCTCATATAATCGCTCATACTTGCCGAGCATGCTCTTTAATACTCCATATAACACTAATTATTGCATCATATTATCGTTGTATTTCGTCTACATGGATGATTTAGGTTTTTGTAATGTATAAATTAACATCTTTAAAATAAAAATAATAATAATAATTAAAAAAAATTTGTGGGGGAAGTGTGTTTGTTTAACTTGCATAGACAACAGTAGGCTCATGTTTTATGCTCAACCGTGTGCGTACATGCCCGAACAAAGTTGAAATGCCACTCCAAGCACAACCCTTCCCATCGTGTTAGGCCATGTTATGCCCTAATTCTGCAAACATAATTTTAGTTATTTTGTTATTCTATTAGTATGCACTCATGCCAAATGTGTTGGGTCATTTGATTGATTTTCCATAAAAAACGCACCTAACCATACCCATGACTCGGCTAGTGTGGAATCCTGTGGATCTCATCATCGACAATTCGACACACATGGTAATGTGTCGTGTCATGTTATTTTTTCCGTGCAGATTATGTCGTATTTAAAAAAAAAAACATGTAAACACGACTAATATTCCACAATCCACGCACATTACCATATTAATTATCATGCATCGATTGTGCTAATTTTATATAATTATATGTTATATCATGTCATGCTGTATCGTGCCCTTGTTTCGGAGGCCATTCCTTAATAGGTTATTGTCATCCCTTTCAAAAAAAAAAAAAAAAAAAAAAGGTTATTGTCATTATTCATTAGGAGGCCATACTCAATAATCAAACACAACCTTGAAGCATTGAACATAATTAACTTCACTCTCCTCCTCACTAGTTTCTCATTCCCGCCTAAACCAGGGATTTCACTCTAATCCCCAATTTCTCCTGCGAAAACACCAAGTCGAAGAATCCTCAATTCAAGCTCGTCAACAATGGCGGTTATCAGTGATTACAGTTCAAGCAAGAAAACCTTACAAGTTGAAGAACAAGTTGAAGGGGAACGTATCGAAACTAATGACTATTTCTTCTGCAAAATCGGCGATTCTATTCCTATCATGTCCGACGGCTCGATTTTCGATGCAAACAATCCTCCTGCAAAACCCTTGGTTATATCTGAAAGTTCCGGTCTCATATTTGCTGCTCATTCTACTGGTAAACGAGTTAATTAATCAACAATTATAATTTGATTTTGTTATCAATCAATTTTGTCAATTTTTTGTTGTAATTGTTTGATAATTTGAGCAGGATTTTGTGTTGCGAACATTACGGATGTTATTGCGGCGGCCAAGGAGATTAAGGATAAAGGAAGTGGTCCTTCTGTTCAGGATTTGTGTGTTGTTGATGTTCTTATTGGTAGGGTTTCGATACTGGCTCTTTCGACTGAATGTTCGGTCATCTCCGCGGTTGTTGAGGGGGAGATTCAGTTCTTCTTTGTCGATTCGCTTCTCAATATGGTAAAACCTTCTGCACTATGCTTGTAGTCATGTATTGAATTATAGAAGTTATTTAATTTATATTAGTTGATTAGCTTATTGAAGTGGAAATTAGTGATCTATATTACGGAGTAGTTGTTTGTTATGACTATTCGAATAGAATTGGGCTTTTGGAGGAGTCCCATTGGTATCCATGTTTTTGGAATATATCTTATATATGAGTGACAAAGGTTGTAACATAAGGTGAAATTTATAGGCAATGGATATTATGATAAAGTTGCTGCATTCCGGGAGCATAGAGAGGTTAGGGCTAAATTTGAGAGGAGTTGCTGACTCTTTGTAGTTTGTTAGCAAGAAAAGGAAGATTCCCAGACATATTAACTAGTGTTTGTATCCTGGCCACAACTCCCATGAATAGGCTTGGTGGTGTTCACCCTGGGATTATCTTAATTGTAGAATACTTCTGCGGCGAGCAGATGTATATTTTGGGTGCTGCTGTTGTTAGTAACAAGGTGTTTGATGTTTTGAGGCGGAAAGAGGGCTCACCTGGTTTTGGTGATGTGTTAGGGCAGTGATTGTTTAAGTTAAGGTTATCTTTTATTATGAAAGAGGACTTTGTGACTCTTTGAAGGTCTGTGGGCAGGGAATTAGGGTTTACGACTTGTAAGGACAAATTGCAGAAATTAAAATTGGACTGTGATGTAGGCTCTTGAGATAAGGTGTTTTTAAGCAGACAAGACATAATAATACCTCATCGAAGTCAGTGTTTTCGGGTGGATTATACTGTATCTGTACTTATTGTGTCTAGGAGTTAACGATACCTTTAAAAAGGTGGGTTTACAAGGGCACGTATCTTTAGATAGAAGCGAATAGAGCAAGAAGATCTTTGTGGATTACCATTGAAGTTAGATTTTTGGTTTATGCAGTTGACCTTATCAAGTTTGATAATAAGACCTTGGCTTTGTTGTTGTTGTTGGTGTCTTCCTTGTTGCGGTTGCTTTTTTTTTTTTTGAGGTTTCTGATCAAGTATCTATCTTGGTGCTCTTAGGAAGTAATCTTAAGGAGTTAGAGGGTGATTTGCTTTTGGGATTGGATAATGTAGAACTTTTAGGAGATATGACTGGTTTGATAGGCCTTCTTTAAGCTTGACAGGGTATCTCACCCTTATTAATACTTATCCTTGTCATTCCCTTTCAGTTTCTTTCTTTGAAAATTTATCAGTGTGGGGCTAAAATTTTGGAAAAGCTTAGGACAGTCTTTTTTGGTCAAGGGCCTATGGTGGTACTTTGTTTGCAACCTAAAGAGAAGGGAGGTTGTGCTGATGATAATTAGGTCTTTGTAGTGATTTTCTTTGTGGGGATATTGTTATAGCAATCTCCTTTAAAGAGTTATCTACACTATATGGAATTAATGGTTAGGACATGCAGGAACTAACACTTCTTCTTCCAGGCTAAGGTAACTATGCGACTCTTTCTTAGGCACTTTAGATGATAAGTGTGGATTTGTGATTGGAATACTCTTTATTGATTTTCTTGAAGAGGACAACTAGCCTTCAATGTACCCTTCTTAGTCCTATTTAATAGAATTTCACTTTATCATAAAAGTAAAAGACATTGAGACCTCAAGGGACATGCACTAGGACAGTAATTAAGTTCCATCAAGATGCAGTTGCCAAATTTAACTAGTACTTTAAAAGTTGAGCCTAGGAGTTATGCTTCAATTGGATGTTGATCCTAACAATATCTTTTCAGTGTCACACTATGTAGTTTTTAGGAGAATATTGGACTTCTACTTTGATCATATAGCTTTTTGAAATGTTTTAATATATGTTTTTTTAATATAGCATGATTGTTCCATAGCTTGTCTTGACTTATTGTGAAGTAGCAAATGGTTGTGGCATTTTAGTTACCAATGTTATTGCGAGGGTAAGGTTGAAATTGCATGTGTGGTACATGTGATCCCATGTTTGTTTAAAGCAAGAGACTCTCTAGAGGCACTAGGATTATATTGATATAGAACTATAGAAGTCTATGCGGCATTTGAATTATTGTTGTATAGCTACTTACACTGTGACTTGCAGGATAAAAAACCTACATTTTGCTCTTCTGTCGAATCAAACCCTGTGAAGGACATGTTTTGGATCAATGAGACAGATCCTTCCTTTATTGTCCTTACATCTGGTGGGAAAGTTTTTAATGGAGCTATAAACAAGAGTCTAAAACATGTGATGGATGAAGTTGATGCTGGTGAGTGCTAGGTAACTGATTACATAAATGGATTATGTACTTAAACAAATATTGCATATTTTGTTTTAATTTATGGATTTATCAGTGTTTTGACACTAAATGTTGTAAAAAGGAAAAACAAAGTGGTGGTTGATTTCTTGTGTTTTGTAAAGTTAGATTAAGAAGCAGGACTTCTGAAATCAATCCTTAATTGAGCTTCTAAGATAACAATCAAAAGGAGTAAACACTCTTTTTGTTGCTCAATCTGCTTCTCTAAATAGCAAAAATCTTTCAGCTTACAAAGGAATTGAAGAGAGTGTGTGAAAGTGTGTAAAAGAGAGAGCGTATGTAATATGTATGTATGTAAATTGAACGATCAATATCTAACCCATGTCATTAATGACATTTTCACAACTATGCTATGGCCAAATTTGCAAATCGATTTCATTTTATTAAAAAATCTATTTCTCTCTCCCTACTTTGAAATCAAGTGAGCAACAACTTATGTATGACAATCTTAGAGCAAAGAGATTTAAAAATTGTTGTCAATGTTGCTATTTGATGACTATTTGTGTGTCTTTGTCATTAAAAGTTAAGATATTTGAGTTTAAAGAGTTGCTATGTTTGGAATTTTACTCTTGAGTCAAACGTTTCACTTTAATGTTATTATACTTTGCTTTTGATGGTTGAATATAGGCTTGGCTCAATATCTGTTCTTCTATATACTTTATTGCTTTCATATATGGTTTTGTAGTTTCGTGTCCACACAAATATTGATACGCGCACACACACAAATGTATAGGTACACAGGTGCATAATATTTACCAACTCTCTCTTACATGCACAATCACTCACAAATATTGGTATTTTTATTTTCAAGGGTGAAATTATCTTGATACACAACTTTGCTGATTCTTTGCTTCCAATGAGCTCTTGTTAGCTGTTATTTTTCGGTTCATGATTTGTTTGATTATTAACCAACATAATAAGTTTGCATGTCTTGAAGTACGTATACCTCTTGGCTGGCCGATGTCAGCATGTTCATGCTTTCAACATTCAGTCTAGATGCTCTGCATTTGTTTTGTAACTTCTATTATACTTGATTGAGCTGTTTCTTGATTCATACACAGTTGGAAGGAGTGTTGATGGAAATTTTGTTGCTGTCGGGAGAAAAAAATACCTTACTATATATTCTTCAAAATTAGAAGAGATTTTACAAGTTCTACTTCCAACAGATACATGGACTGACAAGAGTGACACTATCAAAGGTATGTAATGCCCTTCGTGGATGTAGACTTATCCATGCTCCATGTAGAAATTTTAACTCTAATAAGTTGATACAAGGTTGTAAGTCCCATGTACAATTCATAAAATTTTGCTTTTGATGCGTATGATTTCTAACTCTTGCCGGCTGCATGGATGGTGATAAAGTGTTTTGTGTTTGAAATATGAAGTAAAGTACTTTACAGATCATTATATATGTGATTGTACGTGTAAATCTATCCATATTGTTTTTTCTCTCTTTCCACTCTTACTGGATGGTTGATAACTCTTGTAAATCTGAACCTTGTGATTCTGTAAATTGCAGCCCTGTATGGTTAGGAGAAGTTTCATGAGCTTTTAGCGGTTTGAGGCCAACTTAGCTGTTTGACCAGCCAAAAAGCCGATTCTGGTGTTTGATAACTAGAGGTCTCAAATAGCGTTTTAGGGTCCAAACAGCTAATTTGAAAATGCTGGTAAATGCAATGATTTCCAAAGAGAGGTTTGAAAAATCCTTGCGAATTGACATTCTTTCCCATAAATGTTCTCAAATTATAGTGAAATAAGGGACTGATTTGCGACCCTAAAGAATTGAAATAGGTACACAAATATTCAAGAATAAGTTGTTTCTATTATGTGGATTGGATTAGGAGCATCAATTTGCTGGAAATCTCTTGCAAATTGACATTTTTAAATGCATCACTTTCTAAAAATGAAAGTTTCAATTTAGATGCATCATTTTCCTTATTAGTTAATAAATTCTCTCTATCTCTCTCATATCACATAGGCCTTCTTTATTTTATTTTTCTCTCTATCTCTCTCTACTCCAAAAATTGCCTAGGAGTCCGTGAAGGTATTTTTTTCTTCTCCATATATTAGAAAATAACATAATTCATGTGGAAACTTGTTAGATTCGTCTCTATGTGTAATTTTTAACTATAAACTTTTTATAATTTTGTATAATGCGTAGTGGAAGATATTGATGCTAAAACATGTGCATTGATGCTATGAATCAGAGTGGTGACAGAAATTAACAAGGCAAAAATAGATAGCAAAATATACGAATTGGCTTAAGGTAGTCAATCAGCCCTTCCTACTTTCGAGAGGCAAGAATTCTCTCGAAGAAACTCCAATATATTTCTCAATGATTTCTTACATCCATATTCTACCCTTATTTATAACGTCTAAGACATAACAAATTCTCTAACAACTTCTAGAATTTTTTCTCCTTTTATTCCTTCCGGATGACAGGTGAATTAGTTAATAAGATGGTGCTGAGGTGGCCTTCTCCTCTTGTGGGTAGGGATGAAAATGGGTAGGATCTAGTAATACTAGGACCCTAATTTTTTTATCCATACTCATACCCTACTCGGACCCTTACGGTCTGAAATTTTAAGACCCTTAACCGGACCCAATGGGTTTAGCAGGGTAGGCTGATGTTCCAATATGGGTTCTATACCTACTTTTTTTTCCCATAATAATAATAAAAAAAAAACTAAGAACACAACTACACGAGAACATGACCAATTAATTTTTTTTTTAATGTTTTTAATTTTTTTTTTTTAATTTGACTTTGAAACTTTTTTCTTTGTTTAACATATTGTGCCGGTCTATTTACTTCTAGGTCCGTGGGTAAAACATTATACCTAGACCTTTACCCTACCTATGCCATCTAGACCCATACCCTACCTGGACCCATAGAGTCTAAAAATATGACCTATACCCGTATCTTGGGGTAGGGTCCGACAGGTTTAGGTTTGGGTAGGGTCCTGGATCCACTGCCATCCCTACTTGCGGGTGATGGTTTTTGGTGGTTTAGCTTTGTGCATAGCATTTGAAAACTATGCAAAAAGACAAATGCAACTAATTAAAAGAGACACAACAATATTTAAATAAATAAAATTATATTATAAACGAGATGAATTCATTTCCTCAAAAATTTGGAAAACTATTTTTAAGAAAGGCATCTGATTGTGAGAAAATCCAATGATTAAATATGAGTAATATTTTATCCTTTCCCATCATTTATGCATTCAAACAAGATATATGTTACAAGTTGTACGTGGCTAGATCAACTTCCATATTACTTAAAACAAATATACTTAACAATAAATTGTATTAATCTCCTTGTTGGTCATTTTAAACAACCAACTAGCTATCAACTTACATCTATATACCAACACTTTTATACAGACAACTAGTACAACAAGCTAGTCTAACTGGCTTTGCTGGAAATATTATTCAAATGTTGCATTCAATGTGAGATACTAAGCTACTTCCTTTTACATTCTTGGATGTTTTCATGGCAGTGGATAGCATCAAGTGGGTTCGCTCAGACAGTATCGTGGTAGGATGTTTTCAGCAGACTGAAGATGGCAAGGAAGAAAATTACTTCGTGCAAGTTATCACGAGTAAAGCTGGAAAAATCATCGATGTAAGTCAAGCGTTCTTTATTTCATGATTTTTGGAACATAGTATTATGATCTATTGTATGCACGTATGCACCATAAGCAAGGAAGCTGGGTTATACAATAAAGTCTTTAAATATATATTCTCTAGTTAATCTATAGGGGAACTTGTCACAGGTGTTTGTCATATTTTGGCTTTTGGGTCTTAGTCAATGACCGAACTAGGGGGTGCTCTTGTGTCTATGGGAAGGGGGGGTTGTTTCAAGATGGTTTATTCTTTATCAGCATGGCAGTTAAATCACTTGGTCATCTTCCTGTTAAGGGAGAGGTTGTGGACAGTTTTGAGGGTTAAGGAGGGGATGAAGGGTTTATTTTAGTTTCTTACTTACAAATTCATGGATGCCTTTATGCTTTTCCTATGTTTTGATTGGTGTATTGCCTTAACTTTAGGAAAGTCCATGGTTAATGAGATTAATTCTGAACTTCCTGCTCATGCTTCTTTTGCATCTTTTGCTAGGCTTGTGACCAATCTCTACTGCTCACTTATCTTAGTGTTGTATTTGATGGGAACCCTTAAAGCCAAAGAAAATCTAGTTTTAGGCCCTATCAACGGAAGTGTTTCTATGAGGCTTGCTGAGGAGAATTTTTTTTAACACTTGTTCTTGTGGTATCCGCTTTGTAATGAATATAACATATATGAGAAAGGTAACAAAGATACAGTCTAGAATAGCACCAGGAATTTATGAGGCTCACTAAAGAATATAAGCTACTCCCATGAGATGGAAGTATTTTTAGCCGGGTCTTGAGGAGATATGATATGCATATATTGACTAGGCCCAATGTATAAACCTAACTCAAGCAAAGAAACATTCGGCTTGATTTGTTGGTGTTGTTACTATATATGAATAAGTTTATGTGAGGTAAATATAATCTTATGGTGTTGAATTAGGTTTGTCGTTCTAAACAAGATGGTTTAGGCCTCATGTATAAGGTGTTTAAGAACATTCCCCTGGTGGGAAACTCTTGAATCTGAATCTCTTTGGCAACATATTTATAGGATGGAAAGGTAGGCAAGTATCTTCTCCTCATTTTCATTTTACTTTTACAATGTGAGGTAATTGCTACTCTTTATTCTTTTGTTTGGGGAGTGAGGGTTTCCATGTTTGATGACTACATTGGGGAAATGGCTCATAGAATGGAGTATTGGAAGTTTGGAATAATAAAAGTATTAACTGTGTCAAGGATAACCAATGTTGACCTAGTCGGAAGGGATGACTGGGTAAATAGGGGCATGAAACAACTTAATCTCCGTGATCGTATTGCATTGGAAAGAGGTGAGTGGAGGAAGAGTAATGTAAGCAACTCTTAGGGATATCATCTGTTTTAGCATTAAGGCTTTGATGCTGTTCTATAAGAATGGGAAAGCTCTATGGTGGTTTCCTTGTATCATTATATGTTAATTCTTTGCTGTTGCCTATTGTCGATGGAAATGAATAACCAGGGAGGATCTTCTATTTGAGAGTCTGTTTGAGATAGTGTTTTTTCTTGCTTCATTGTGGTGCCCTAATTAAGGCTTTGATTGATTGATTGATTGTGATGCCCTAATTGGGATTGTTTTCCTGTCTATGATTATGTGATATGTTCAATGTGATTGACGCACCTTATATGTCTTTCTGTATTTCTTGATCGTTAGAAGAGACTTCTGGTCCTCTGAATGCTGTTCTGTTCTTTCTTGTGATGAATAAAGTTTTTCTTTATCCAATTATACGAGGCTTGGTGGTCACACATACACTTCAAAGCCCCTTTATGGTCCGTTTCTTTAGTTTCAGCAATTAGTGATTCTGTTCTTTTAGACTCTCAATTTCTGAATATCCCTTCAAAAGGAGTTAGGAATTTGATGAACTCAAAAGTCGTTAAAAAGTGATGCTATTCTTTGATTTTTTGGTTTTAAATGCTCCTAGTTTAAAATTTCATAAAATTAAAAACCTTTATAAAAACATCATTCTTTGAGTTGTTTTCTATTTTTCCCTTAGTTTGTCCATCAGGCTTATTGCATTGTCAAAATTGATCATGATCTCAGAAATAGACTGCTGTTTTGGAGGATCCCATATATCCTTACTGGGTGATTGGTTTCTTTTATTTTATTTTATAACTTTATAATTTCTGTATCTTCTTTAATATTGTCCATATAATTATTTTTTGTACCGTTTGGAATTGGCTTGCATTGCTTCTGACTTCCAGTATCACTTGTATATCTTCGATCATCTTCCCAAGATGTATTGCAGGATTGCTGTTTTCAACAGTGATAATGGAAATTGTGGATATTCATTTTTTTTGTAGGTTGCTATTGAATTCTTTTGATACCTTTAATGAGAAAGAATGCTTGGTTTTATTAGTTGCTAAGTGTATCGTCCACACCGCCTTTTTGTTTTTTTTTTACTTACTTTTGACGTTTTGAGCTCCTTATTATTCTTGTAGGATTTTCCGAAGCTCGTTTCAGTGGACTTTAGCGATCTTTTTACTGGCATTCTTGATGATATTGTGCCATATGGCTGTGGGCCGCATCTTTTTTTGAATTATTTGGAAAATTGGTACTTTCACTTATGAACTCATTTCCCTTATGGCTTATTGTTGCAATAGTATTTCCTTTGTAGACCTATGCAGATTAATTTATTAAGTTTGTTGATTCAATAAGGTGAATAAGAACCTGAATTGAAAATGATGTTGAAGTAGAGCTAACCGCTCTTTTGGGCCTCTATGCAGTAAATTCTATTACTGATAAAGCTGAGAGAGATATGTTGCTTGGCTAGCCTCCAGTGATCATCTGAGATTGCAATGAGGTGCTGGGATATAGGTGTTGTTATAGGAGGTGATTGGACCATGTGTAGTTGTGTATTAAGGGGCCTTGAAGTCTTGGAATTGAACTGTGGTTGAGTTGAGTATGGAAGTGGTAGGTAGTAGGGAAATAACTGGTACCATTAAGGTTAATTAACTGGTACCCTCATGATTAATTATGTCATTTGGCTAGACTGCCATGTACCAAGTACTAGGTGTTCAAGCCTGGTTTAGTTTTAGGAATCTTGCTCATTTTAGCTTTATGAAAATTTATCTATGGCTTCTATTATGAAATATTGCTTATAAGAAATTTAGAATGGCATGTCGGCGTGTGATGATGCAAAAACAATTATCCTTGTCTCCTCGGTAGCAAGATGAAAATTGCACACTTCATGTTGCTTCCTTCATTCTTCTCTCAAGTTATGTCGTGTTTTCTGGGCTGAAGCATGCACACTTCACGAGGGCAGCATGCTGGACACACCTATTGCTGCACTCATTCATGCCTTGCCACATGGCTTTGTTGTCCGAGTTTGTCTCGGTAAAACCACTGTTGAATATATGTGTTTTGCTTTATGAATATGAGGAGAAGGTAATTTATAAATATACATCCAAATCACCCCCCTTACAATTTCTTCTTATATTTCTGTACAAAATCAAAATCCTTTCATTGCTCTCTTAAGAATTTGTTTTCTTTTCATTTTTAGTTACAGATTATTTTCTTCAACCTTTTTTAGGGTAAACTTAGTTCTGTCTAGGGAATCATTTTTATATCTATAATTTTTAATTTCCTATAATTTTTAATTTCCTATAATTTTTAAATAACCACTATTTGTCTAGGGAATCATTTTTATGTGTATAGGCCATAGGGTAATCTTAGTTCTGTGAAACAAAATCTGTGTAGGAGGCACAATGTCTTTTTTTTTTTTTTTTTTTTTTTTTTTGGGTGGGGAGTGGGGGGGGGGGGGTAATGTTTGAAAAGTTGGAGTGTGGTAACCTTTGATCCACATTGAGGGAAAAAAGAGGGTTGGGGACAAGTTAGTGGAAAATGAGGTCGAGGAAGGGAAAGCACGAGTATGCTTAATAAATAATCCTTGCCCCTTTGGCAACAGCGCAAGTGCTGTTTAAGGAGGTTATAAGTTTAAGGCAATGTATGGATCTCATGCCCATCCAAAGAAGAAAACGTATCCAAAACAATAGGATGAATAATCCTGTCATTCTATACTTGGACAAGCTGTTGTAATCATAAACTTAAAGGAGAGTTGAGGCATTAATTAACCCATCCAGATTAATGACTAATAAAGGCATGTAACGTGTATGCTCTGAAATTGTTTTGCTTACAATAATCTCAGCTCACATTTCTCCCAGTGTTTTTGTTGTTATTTTTTTTTTGACAGCATGAACATGTGATCCTTGGTTTGTTACATCCCTGCTCTTCAGTGTGTTCTCTTGTGGAGATTTGGTATCATCAGTCTATAACAAAAGTTGCACATAAACTGGACGTACCTTCCACTAGTTTTTGTATGATTATACTCTCTGGTTGAGCAATGCAGCAAATACTGAATTTGTTTGATCTTCACCTGGAAGTTTAACATTATTTAATAGTAGTAGCATTGATTAGAATGTCATGTTCACTTGTGTTCATTAATGAGATCTTGTTTGGACTTTTGCAGTGAACTTGCTTTTGTTTCTAATAGGAAGAATACTGATCAACATATCATGTTGTTTGATTGGTCGCAAGGTGACAACCAAGTATCTGTGGTTGACATTGAGAGAGATAATTGGCTGCCAAGAATAGAACTTCAAGGTACATTATTTTTGTGCTACTGGTGGATCTTAGCTCTATGCTGTATCCATAAAAGGAAGCTAGAGGCATGGTTAGTTTATCTGCTTATAATCAATGTCCAGCTCGTAAAATGCATGGACTATATATCTATTAATTTTTCGGATATGCAGACACAAACCCAACACTTCTAAACATTTGTCAGATTCTTTATCTTCTTGAGGTGATTGTTGCTAATAATTGACAAATTTAAAGAAGCCAACACATAATTCAAATGTTGATTCCCTATGTTCCAAAGCCTAGAGCCTGAGCTTTTGCAATATTTTTGTGCTTCATCTTGTCACATGTCAATTGTTTACTGCTAATATGTAGGGCGCATGCCACCTACAATTTTCGATGCCTATACAATTTAATCATTTATGACCATATAAGATGTCTAAGCAGAAACTAGGAGTACTCCATAATTACTAATAGTTATGTAATATATTTCTATGCTAGGATATATATTGGAAAACAGTCATTTTTTTTTACCACAGCTTACTAATTAACTAGCTTGATTCTGTTTACCCCCCAAAAAACTATATCGCAAGATCATTTGTATTATTGACATGACCATTTGACATTTATTAAGAGCTTTAAACAATATGTATGACACACAAAAGTAGGCCCATTGTGTATAGTTTAGTTCGTGTCGTTTGATATTTTAATATCACAAAGACCATTAAATTGCATTAATTAAAGAAATTGTCTTAAAAGGATTTTTTTTTTTTTATTTTTTTTTTGTTTTTTGTAATGATGATTATATGTAAAAAGTGGTGTATAAAGATAGCTCTGCACAAACTTTCTATATATCATTCTGTATTGTGCCCCTTCTTTCTTTTTTTTTCGGGACATAATAGGTAGTTGAATGGGATTGGTTTATTCTAAGATTTAAATTTTCGAGATGAAATGTTCACACTTTTCATTTTGGGACTCAATGGTTGGATAAATGAGATTGATTGTTGATTTCCTTTGAATTTCGCAAATATTTACATCTTCATGGTTTTAAGAGGTAAAGCACGAAGCCATGAACTCTAGTGAAGCATATCCTTATTATTTTTTTTTTTAAATTTCAGAAAATGGGGATGAAAACTTGGTCCTTGGGCTTTGTGCTGACAAATCTTCAGTTTATGAAAACGTGAAAGTCAAGATCGGAGTTGAAGAGGAGAGAGAACTTCCACCGCATTGCCTTCTTGTGTGTTTGACACTTGAAGGGAAGCTTGTTATGTACAATGTTGCAAGGTAAAAAGGCTTCGTCTTCTCAATAAATGTTGTTGAGATTGATGAATTGCTATATATATATGTGTGTGTGTGTGTGTTAAGATCAGTAATCCTCTAGTAGTGCTGGAAAACAATAGTTTACATCATAGAAAGAATCCTCTGTAAAGTCCTATCAGAATGTCCCAATGGAAATACTTGAGAGTGAGAGACCACTCAGTCCAATACATGTTGAATTGCTCTCACTAATCTTATTAATGTTGCCCACTTGTCCATTTTCTGAATCACTTTCTCCTGTTCTTGCAGTATTGCTGGGTCTCAACGCTCAAGTCAGGATTTATCTGTTGCTTCATCTGATGCGCAAAGCATATCTGTTGTTGAACCTTCAAATGTTAGTAAAGCTCCTTTTCAATCGGAGGAGGAAAGGTCTAAACAATCTGTTTTTGATTTGGGATTATGTGAATCTGATAAAAAGAAAATTAGCTCTGCACTTGATGTTCCTGTTAGCAAGGTTCAAGAGCTACCTGAGCAGAAGGCATACACTCTTGGTATTACTAATTTTGATCAGAACACCAGAAAGGAACTAATTTCTGGAAGCAATCATCAGAAGGAGGTGGCAGATGTCAACAACTCTAAGTCTTTTGGACAATTGGGGCAGGCTGAAGAGGGAAATTCAAATCAGTCACCATTTAAGAGCTTGCATGGCTTAGGTTCTGCTGCTGGAAATACTGTTGTAACTGAAAATTGGAAGACTGAGTATGGTGAGTTGAATAGAACTCTAACCCCCCCAACTTCAGGCAGTTTTCTGGGAGGCTCAGGTGTACTGAATTCAAGATCTCTATTTTCACCACAAAGTTTTGACAAAAGTACCGTATCTGGTAGCCCTTTTACATCCACAAACATAGCAAATAGTTCTGAAAGCTTGTTTAGAAACTCTGGTTCTCGTCCATCAGATTCATTTGTTTCTTCAACGAAAGGTGTGGACCACAGTCAAAAATCAATAACTAGCAGTGGCATGTCTGGCTTACCGTCTAATATTCCTGGCTCAAAAATGTTGCTACAAGAAAGTGGCAAATTACAGAATTTAACTGGTCAAAGTGTGCCCCCAATGTTTGGTAATGATAGGAAATCTTCTCCTCTTGGGCAGCTGAACTCTGAGCAGAATTTACCCAAGCAATTTTCCAATGTAAGATCCTTGCTTCTTTTCCTTTTGCAATATGGTTTCTTTTTTGTTTTGCTGATTGTAAGTGTTTGCTTCATGCTTCCATGCCTTAAAAGCCAGCTTGTCATATGATCTCCTTCCTCTTTGACCTGCCTTGATCGTCCATTTTGTTTACTTATTAGAGAGAGGGTGGAGTGGCAAGGTATCTTATGAGTAGATAATCAGTTTTAAGTGAATTCTTGATATAGCTTAGAATTTTTTTGATCATTGGACATATTTCCCTTCCTTTTTGCAGAATTTGCACTCTGGGTAGAAAATGGAGTAGTGAGAGATTATGGGAACCATGTTAAATAAAAAGGAAATTGGAAATTTTTTTCAGGATAAATCAAAAAGGAAATGGGCCAATCTCTTAAGGATGGAGATTAATATTTTTTCTTGTATTGGCGTCACTCTGCCCTCCTCAAATCCACCACTGCTCGTTAACATTGTATAGCAGCTTTACATAGCTCCATTCCTAATGTTTCTATGCCGGTTTCTGCACCAAACTGTCAATTACTTAATATTTGGCATTCGAAGGGTTATGGAATATCTTCGTCTCTTCTTGATATTTTTATATTATCCATTATTTCTAGGTCTCCATTTTTAGCTTTTAGTCTTATATAACAGTCATGGTCATTGGCGGGGTGTTGATGTTACTTTGGGTATGCACTGATTGATTCCTTTGTCTTTCCTTTAAATAGTGGAGACTTGTTTTGCTTGAATGATTTATGTAATTGCAGGTATAGGCTTTTCTAGAGTGTGTTTATTGAGTCTGAAGTCTGAACCTGAGATTCTCACATAATTTCTAATTCTTGCTAGGTACAAAATATGGCAAAGGAGTTGGATAAACTTCTCAAATCTATAGAAGAAGAGGGAGGTTTCAAGGATATTTGCACAGCTGCTCATAGAAATTCTCTTAAAATTCTAGAGGAAGGCATGAATGGTCTCTCTGAAAGGAATAGAGTGTGGCAGGTAGTTTATTATGTAGACTTAGTCAGTCTTGCATTGCCTGTGGTTTCTTGCTGATTGCTACTGTTTTTTGCAGTTTTTGATTGTTTATACTTTACAATTATGGCTGCGTACACTTTTCATTGCTAGATTCTGCAAGTGGCATGAACTACACTGGCTGTTATGTTTAACTATGTGTATAGGATCGTAGGTTATTATATCGGCTTCATCTATAGTGCTAGCCAAGTGGCAATGGTATACTAGACTTACTCTATATTGCTAGCCAAGTGGAAATGGTCAACCTTACAAAGGTTTGCCTTCTTTGCGATCTAGGATAGCTAGGCATGTTGTATACTAGACTTACTCTATATTGTGACTTTGGGAGTTAAGGTGGGGAGATTACTCAACTCTACTCCTCGCTACACCTGGAGAGACTTGAGATGTTCCTTTAAACGAATTTGGCTTAGATACAACAATACACCACCTATAGGTCTTTATGGGGATGTGAGCATGTCAAGATGTATATGATATTACCTTGTAATACCTTTGAGGAATTTGACCATGATACAGTTACTGGCAATGAGGGCTTTCTCAAAGATATGAAATAAAGCAATATCATCAAGGATCAAGAAGCAGAGACTTCAGATAATATGGGCTTCCTTTTCCATGGTTATGGGCTCAATTGTTATCAATCTCACCCTTATAGTAAGCTAGTAACTAAAGCCCTAGTGGTGCTATGGTGGTGCATTTTGCTTGTGGTTTTCTCTTTTCCTTGGCTTGTTAGTACACCCCTAGGCCCAAGCCAGACCAGCATTGAAGTGAGCCTGAATTACAGGACCATGAAGAAGTTCAAATGGTATTTATAACTATAAAATGTATGACCAATGATGAGGGATGCCACGCAAAATTGGGTAGAACAAAGCAAATATAGGTTAACATGCATGGAAGCAGCATTTTTTTTTTTTTTTTTTAAATTAAAAAATTTATAATATCTCAATTGATGTCTGATTATCTCCCTTTGTGCCATAAGCCTTCCTCTTTCTGCCTTTCTATCAAGTATCAACTATTCTGATCCCATGTGATTTCTGAATTTCTCTATGGAGTGTTGGGGTGTCTAATGTCGCCATAATGCAAATCATGCTCTTGCTTCGTACTGTTCTGTTCTATCTTCTTTCTCCCCATAATTCTCCACCCTACTTCCAGCTGTGTAGGCTAGCTGGAAGTTCACTAGACTTTGGATCTGTTGAATTATGTCTTGTATGATCTGGTTTGATGTTCAGAATTCATATCTGATCTAAGGAATCAGATGACAGCTATAGGATGCTTATTGGAACCTCCATGAAATGGGGATATATGTGGAGAAGCCTTTCCTTCCAAGTGATATTGATTGCAGCTAATAGTTGTATTTTTTTTTTTTTTGGATAAGCTCTAAGGCCTCTAACTAGACTAGGAATTTTCTTTTTAACCATGGGTATTGAGAGGCATTGGAAACTTGGCACTTATTACTTGAACCATTCTATTACTTTTTAAAGGGCATCCATGCACTTGCTTATTTCGCTCATTGATATGACACTTCATTCACTCCATGAGTGAAATATTAATTTCTGGTGAGAAAGGAGTTGGTAATTCTGCACAATCTAGTTTTCTTCCCACTTGTTCCCTAGCATCTCTTACTAGCCACATGTTTTATTATTATTATTTTTTTTTTATATACTCCCTCCGTCCCATAATATAGTTCCTATTTTCCTATTTTGGAGATCCAAAATGTTGTTTCTATTTCTATTTTTGGATAGTATATAAAGACCATTATACCCTCACTTTTTTAACTTTATTCATTGTACTTCCTAAATTACCCTTGAATTTTGCACATGACTTGTACTTTTTTCCATTTTCTCTCTCTAACTTTTGTCTATAATTCTTTTCACTTTTATTAATGTACTTCATCCACTTTTTCCTCCTATTTCTTAAATACCGTGAAAAAACACAAACAAGAACTATATTATGGGACGGAGAGAGTATATAATTTTTAAAATTTGTTTTTTTTTACCTAACTCCTTTATTTAGATGATCTGAATATTGTTTTCATGTGGTTTAGGAATTTTTAGTGTTTTAAGGCTTGATGTTGTGGAACCTTTCTCGTTGACTTGCCTTTATGCTGTAGTAATTAGTTTACTGCTTTTGACGCACTTTGCATTGGCGTGATGTTTGATTTTTTACTTACCTATTCTGTTACATCAATTTATGATACTTATTACCCCTCCACCCACAAAAAACACACACTCTTTTTACTAATTTTAATTTGCTTATATTTTCTGAAGAATCATACAGAGGAACAACATAGAGAGATCCAACTTCTTCTTGATAAGACTGTACAAGGTATTTACTGGCACCTAAGTTCAATTCGCTGTGCTTCTGCATTTGATTTTCCCTGTTTTGGCTTTTTTGTGATTGTTCCTACTTCTTTTTATGTTATTTTCTGGGCTCCTTTTATGATGAGCCTTTCACCCTTGCTTTATCCAAAATCCATAGAATCTGTTTTCTTGTCCTTAACAGAAGTTACCATGAATAGAAAGGCTCCATTTAATTGTCTAATATTACATCTAACATTCAAAATACATTAATGCGTTGCAAGTTTCCCAATGCAATGCATTTATTAGTTTTCTAATTACTCAGCGATACGATACTCTGGTATTTTTTCAAATGTTTACCTTCCAATCTATCAATAGTTTTACTTGCCTTAATTTCTGACCTGACTAATTGGCCTTTACTTTGGTGTTTTGGTTCAATCGTGTTACAGTTTTGGCAAGGAAAACACACATGGAAGGTGTCGTGAGGCAGACTACTGATGGACAATATTGGGATTTATGGAATCGTCAAAAGTTAAATTCAGAACTTGATCAAAAGCGACTAAACGTGTTAAATCGGAGTCAGGTACATTTTTTTTTTGTGTTACAAAAGCACAAGTGAAAGTTTTTTCCGTTATGCTTGCTCAAGTGGATTATTGATCTCTACAATACTCATTGTTGGTGCCAAAACTCGGGTTTTCATCCTTGTTATAAGAACATTGTATAACTGTGTAAATGAAGCTAGTCACTGGCCTATTTTGTTGCAGTATCTGGGTGTAGTTTTGTTGGTACTACTAATTGTATGGCAAAAGTCATCAGGTTAGTTAGACTCAATTGCACAAGAAACTCATAACAAACTTCAGGCTTGCCTGGGGATTTAGATAACTTGCATGGCATGTCTGGATTTAATAAATATCGTGTCCTATTTATTTTTTGTAATTTCATAGGGTGAAGCACTGGAGGTTTGCTTTAAAATGTCATGATAAGCTGATAACTATTATATGAAACTAGGTTAAAATCCCGTGCAATGCACGTTTGTTAAATATTTTTGACAATAATATTACAAATATAAAGTATATAAAAGATATGTAGAAATATTTCATTTGGGTGTATATGGAATATGATTGTCAAACTGGAAAGAAAATATCATAAGGTATAAATAGTTTACTTAAAGATTTTGCAAAAAAAGGAAAAAAAAAAAAAGCGAAAAAGGCGGGAAAATTTTTCACAAGGTAATGACAAGTGTCATTGGTTATTCGCTTTTAGTATAAGTTAATGGATTCACTTTTTTACAACTTACAAGAATTAAAATGTCATTTATTTGTTTATTTGTTTATTTTTATTTTTTTCATATCGTTTATTTTTTAATGTTTAATTCGATAATACTCCGTAGTGTTTACGGTAACGCTTAAGGTTGTGATGATAAAGGTCAGACTTTAAGACCATACTTTAATGAATTACTAGGTTAAAATCCCGTGGAATGCACGGTTGTTAAATATTTTTGACAATAATCGATCAATCAATCAAAAGCCTTAATCCCATAAGTGGGGTCGGCTAACATGAACCAAATTTGATTATTCTGTTTAGTCATCGACATAAATCTTCCTCCTCCATTCCTTACGATCCAATGCTTCATCCTCATGCATATCCATACACTTCATATCCTTCCTAACTCCTTCCAACCAAGTCATTTTCGGTCTCCCTCTCCCTCGTTTAACCCCTCCATGGTCCCACTCTTCCACTCTTCGCACCGGTGCACCCTCGGGTCTCCGTCTTACATGCCCAAACCAACGTAGGCGATTTTCCCTTAGTTTAATGTCTGCCACACCTACTTTCTTGCGAATAACCTCATTTCTGATTCTATCTACATCCACCTTAACATGCGCATTTCTGTAACCTCCATCTTTTTAATGTGCTCATTCTTAGAAGCCCAACAATTTGTACCATAGAGCAACACTGGTCTTATGGCAGTCCCGTAGAATTTTCCCTTCAGCTGTAAGGAAATGCTTCGGTCGCATAACACTCCCGTGGCCTCTCTCCATTTAAGCCACCCCGACTTAGTCTCGTGGGCCACGTCTAGATCAATGTCACCATTCTTCTGGATGCTCGACCCTAGATACTTAAAACATTCACTCATGGTCAAATCCTTTCCATCCAAACTCACCACTTCATTGCTTGTCCTCCTCTGAGTACCAAAACGACATACCAAATACTCAGTCTTACTCCGACTTAGCTTAAACCCTCTAGATTCCAACCTTTGCCTCCATTGCTCCAACTTGGCATTAACTCCATCCTTAGTTTCATCCACCAAAATGATATCATCTGCGAACAACATACACCATGGAATCTCATCTTGAATTAGTCTAGTTACTTCATGTAGAACCGTTGCAAAAAGAAAAAGGCTTAATGCAGACCCTTGATGCAATCCGATTGTAATAGGGAAATCTTATGTCAACCCTCCACATGTCCTCACATTTGTTGACACATCCCGATAAATATCCTTAGCCAGATCCACGTACTTTCGTGGGATACTTTTCTTCAACATTGCCCACCAAAGTACCTCTCTTGGCACCTTGTCGTAAGCCTTCTCTAAATCAATAAAGACCATATGGAGATCCTTCTTCTTTACCCTATAAAACTCCATTATTTGTCTTATCAAATGGATTGCTTCCATAGTAGATCTCCCCGGCATAAAACCAAACTGGTTATCCGAAATGCTTGTGTATGCTCTCAACCTATGTTCAATCACCCTTTCCTACAACTTTGTAGTGTGGCTCATAAGCTTGATCCCTCTATAGTTAGAACAATCTTGAGCGTCTCCTTTGTTTTTATAGACCGGGATCAAGGTGCTCTTCCTCAAATCTTGCGGGGTCCTTGTAGCCGTCCATATCTTATTGACAATAATATTACAAAATATAAAGTATATAAAAGATATGTAGAAATATTTCATTTGGGTATATATGGAATATGATTGTCAAACTGAAAAGAAAATATCATAAGATATAAATAGTTTACTTAAAAATTTTGCAAAAAAAGAAAAAAAAAAAAATAAAGCGAAAAAGGCGGGAAAATTTTTCACAAGGTAATGACAAGTGTCATTGGTTATTCGCTTTTACTATAAGTTAATAGATTTCCTTGATTATACATCTTATTTCCTCAAAAAAAAAAAAAAAAAAATATGTACATCGTATGAAAGAAACATGAGCTACATGCCTTGTTTCCAATTTTCTAGCCTGTAGGAAACAGCATTTGGTCAGGAGACTCAGGGCTTCTACTAAACCCATGCCATGAAGAAAACTGGTAATGATCATTTGGTATAGGAATATTTAATTATATGGCATAGAAAACTGGTAATAAACTTTATTTGAGCACAGTAGGTTGTACTCTAGGACTATACATATACCCATTGTAAAACCTGTCATGCAGCTTTTGTTGTTCCTATAGATAGGTGATAGAAATGCACTGGAGCTGGGTGTCAAAACTTGGGTTCACCTAATTTTCTTCAATTTTTTGTTGGATGGGGAGGGGTAGTGCTTTTGTTCAGCTAGAAAGAGTACCCAATATCTTTTTGTTAAACAATAGGCTTTGAAGTCTTTTGCAATTCCCCCTTTGCTTGTCTGCATTATTTTCTACACTAATTTATGATTGGATTTTGCCTGAGGATTGATGTATCTTGATAGTGACCTTTATGTCAGATCTTCAAATACAAATTCCTACTATGAAAATCTGTTTGGAGAATATTTCTTTTGGGCACTCTAGATTGGAATTTATAGTTGAATTCGAGCATTAAAACTTCAGATCTGAAGTTTTATACAGGTGCTTCTTTGTTGTGCTTTTGATGATGACGGAGGGAAACAAGGGATTTTATGTCATAGAGTGTGACAGTGGCGATCATGACTAACCGGATTATAAGGATAGGCTGGTACTGAGGTAGTGATGCGGAAGAAGAGTGGCTGTAGCTCCTGTAAATCTGTATGAAATGTAGTTTAGGTTTAAAAACAAAATTAAGGACGGATGCCTCTGAATCTAATATTCTAATTGCTCCATTAAAATTGACTGAGGATACAAGGCTACGATATGTCATTATTGTTATTCTAAGTATTCTAACAAGTGGATCATCTATCAATTTTTTTTTTTGCACAGGATCTGACTAACCGGATGATCGAACTAGAAAGGCATTTCAACAATCTTGAGCTGAACCTGTTTGGTAAAAGCAGTGGGGAAAACTTGGTTTCTCGAGCTCTCAATTCCAGATCTGCGTCATCAAGGTATTGAATTATTTCATCCAGCCAGCACCTTCCAGTGATGGGGGGTCTGCACTTGCGTGACGTTGCAACATATGAGCATTTTTTTTATTTCATTTATGTTTTATTTTTTATTTATTTTTATTTAAAAAGTCAGATGCTTGAAGTGTGCCATTTGCTTAAAGTTGTGATGGGTGTGACCTTTTTTATATCCTTACATTTTAAGGTTCTGTTTTCTTCACCTGAAATTAATTGATCTAATGTAAGCGGAACATCTTTGAAACATAAAGATTTTACTATATACTATCTGTTCCCAATTAATTGCCATACGAGGCTATACACAAGTATTCAGAAATTTTATTTGATGCACCTATTTTAAAAACTGTCTAGTAATATTCTATTGACATCTTAAGCAAACAAATTCTGGGGTTTTGATATCTTATATGACAGATAATGTGGAACAATTTAAAAAAGTTTATTTGTCTGTTAAAATGGAATAAACAGAGTATGTACTAAATACTAGTGTTATCATCATTTTTTTCTTTTGCTAAGTAAATTCTAGGAAAGAAACTTTATTGACATTGGGGTTATTCATTCACTAATTAAGTGACGAAAATTCTCTAGGAAAGAAACAGAGTATTCATTCTCTGGCATTTTTGTGGTCTAGGAGTCTTGTGGAAGCAATTAGTGTCATGGTTCCGTATTTTTTAGCTATTCCTGTCTGTGGGCCTTTAATGTACTTTTTTTTTTTCTTATAATAATGAGAGATTTATGGTTATAGCCCGTCAAGAAAGGAAAAGGAAGATAAAGAACATAGAAGAGGTCATCTGACGTAGTTAATATGTTCAATTTAACTGAGTGTATGACCTGTGACAGGACTATATGATACTTATGGAGTTCTTATACAGCTCAAATTTACGGGGTCCTTTTGTCTTGGTCTTATTTGTATGTTGGCTTGATGAGCATGTGTTTTGTTGTCTATGGACCTCACATTGTGTAATAGACTGATTTTCTGATTAAAAATATTATATGAATCTAAGGGTTAATAAAGGTGAAAGCTTTAGATATTGATTGATAATGGCTGAAAGGTTACAAAGGGTAGGTTAATAGCTTTAGGTTATCACTCTCCTAGTAACTTGAGGTTACTACTCTCAACATAGTTCTTCACAATTCACATAATGTCCTACTGCCTTCACTACTACACTTTTTATACAAAAGCCACATTACAAAACATTAACCTAATATTAATTGTTCTTGTCCTCTACTGCTGCCATACAAAATCAGGAATCAGTCCCATGCTCCCCTTCTCCTTAGTGCTTTCTTAATTGCTTTTGTCCTCTAGTGCTAGTGTGCTACTGTATTCCTTGTTGGCTTAGTGGTGGCAGACACCGGGTCTATAACACATCGGTGATTCATTCATTTACTCGTTTAACATAGAAGTGTCATGCTTTTTTAAGTCCTAGTGCTGGAAAAGTGGAAATTGTGCTGCATCATGCCCAGTGAGATGTCATCACTGTTAATTTCAGATGCTGAAAGAAGTGACGTCAGAAATAATGATTTAATAATGATTCACTGTTTGTTTTTGTTGTTGGCAAAGTCTATTCTAGGAGCTATGGTTGAATAATAATATAACTCTGGGTCTCTGAGATTTCTTTTCTTGTCCTTTCAATGAATCATGTTTTTATCAAGTAGTTTCTATAGTTTATCCAAAAGACCTCAGTAGTTTCAATAATACCTGTTTCCAATTCCTTGAAGCTCCTCCTTGTTGTGGGGAATGTTTAACAGATGACCCAGCATTCATTGGTATATTCATAATGTTTAAAGAATCTGACTCTCTGTTTGACTGTTTGTAGTCCCATCCCTCTCCCCTCCAAAAAAGGTTTCTGTCATATTTACTTTACAAATTATTCTGCAGGCACAACCAGTCATTGCATGCTATTCATAATGCAGCAATTTCACAGCTAGCTGCTGCAAATCAACTTTCTGACTCTCTGTCCAAACAAATGGCTGTACTGAGCATCAAATCACCTCCTACAAAACAAGCTACTGTGAAACAGCAAGTGTTTGAGTCTATTGGAATACCTTACCCTGATGGTCCTCTTCGTTCTCCTAGCACAGTAAAGGTGATGAATTCTCCTTCAAACAGGCATCCATTGGTTTTGTGCTCGGGTGAAACTCGTAATGATTCTAAAAGGATCCAATTGACGGGTGTAAGCAATCCTGAGCCTGAAACTGCGAGGAGAAGGAGGGACTCGCTAGATAGGGTAAAGATTTTCTTTAACTGCTTCTATGATCTTATTCCCACATGCTACAGCTTTCAATGTTCTGTCCTGTGAAGTTTCCATGTGAATGATATTTGTACAACCCTGAGTACACTCTAGAAAATTTAATATGCTGCCTTGTTTTTGTTTAATTTTCATTTTGTCTATCACCCTAAGTGAGGATGCCATGTGAGAACTGAGAATGGTCCAAATGTTGGCGAGTATGATATTATGTTATCTCTGAAGATTATGTGGCAAGTGTCTTGCCATCTGATTGGTAATAAAAATTTAGACTCAAAAATTGAGTAATCTGGGAAAGCTTGCCAATTGCGATATTGTATCGACAGAAAATGAAATTCTTTAAACCCTTGCTTGGTATGATATGATTATGAGTGAGAAACCAAGTACCATGTATAACGAATCGTGAGTATCATTAAATAAATGACCTGTATGGGAATTATTGTTGCCAAAGAGGACTAAATGGGATCTTTAAATCTGTTCTTTCTTACCTTGAAATTACAGGCTGTGACCTGCAATCGAAGAATTTACTGGTGTTGGGTAGCCATTGTATTAATGTATTCACAAATCACAATCATAGGTGGCAAGAGGCTGCTTTTGGTCTGATTCTGTTTAGTTAATTAGTAATGATTATATTGTTTATTGATGCGAAACGATCACATTGCATCAGTAGAAGTTGCAAACAAGGAACTTAATGCAGTTTGGTCAAGGTTTAAGTATTTTTTTAGTTTTTATTTTTAAGAAATCGATATATAATGCCTGAGTTTATGTATGAAAGGTGCTGGACTATTACAAATGTTCAAACTTGACTTGGGAGTCTTAGATTATTCATTATCATCTGCTGCCTTTATGTTCTTTCCTAAATCTCATATTTGATGACATTAATTAAGCCAGGCATTCATTTATGCTCTAATATGTTAATAATACTAATGACAGCTTGATTACTAAAATATTTTCTGTTAGTACAATTCATGTCTGCAGATAATCATTATATTTTCATCCATTAATGAGGCATGTTGATTCTTATTCAGGTGCTTATGTGGTTTGCTTTCCCTTATCTATATTTTTCTCTAGTTCCTTATTAATCTTCTTTTCAGAATTGGGCAAACTTTGAGGTTGCTAAAACAACAGTAAAAAGGATGGTGGTACAGAATGAGCGCCAGAAGGTTGGAGGTTTGTTTTCTTCAATGGATAAGCAATTTGCTAGTCCTGGCAAAATGGAAGGGTCAGTAGCCAATCATTCCAAGGTTCTTTCTGTGCAAGATAGAAATGGTAAGCAAGGATAATCAGAGACTGGTATTCTTTTGTTAAATTCATGTTTAACAAGTTTGCTTGAAAAGATTCCTTAACCGAATCCCCACTCAACCTCCCCCCCAACCCCCCCACCCTCCCCTCCTCTTCCCTTCAAACACAAAGAAAATAAATTGCAATCTGAAAAATTATACATTTCACAGGACGCAATGACACATCACAAAAGCTCAGCGCTGATACAGCGGCCGTATCCAAATTCAAGTGGACTGGAAGCATCCCTGGACTGTCAGAGGCTGAAACTGAGCAGCCTCTCAGATGGCAGTTTAATCAAGGAGATAGTATTAAGGCTACCCAAAACATTTCTTCATCTTCATCATTATTATCACCATTTGTTGATCCAAATTCAAATAAAGGAAATATTCATTCCACTGCAGAAAGACCAGGGTGTCAGATAGGGAGTATTGACAGGTCTGGTACTTCTGCAGCTGACACAGTGCCGTCTTTGTTACAGTTTGGCAAAGAAGAATCACTCATCCAAAAGAATCATTCACAACCATTCTCCTTCTCAATAAAAGGTGGTGAAATACCAACTTTTGGTAAAAAGGAGACTGAAACAACAAAGCCTGTTGGTGATCAAAGCTTTGTTTCGACTAGTAAGCAAGATGTTGGAGCCTCACCTTCATCAGTCTTTCCACCAGTCAACTTTTCTTCAATACCTAATCTGAGTATGCAGACCTTACCAACTACATCTGTGGTTAGATCTACAACCAATACAGAGATGGCCAAGGATAACAAGGAAGGCTTACAATTCTCCTCTTCAGCCTTTTCTGTATCTTCCTCTCTTGCAGCATCTTCGTCCTCGTCTACCTCCAGCCATTTTAAGGAGGTTTCACGATTCCCGACATCACCAATTTCGGTTTCTACTCCACAAGAAGCTCCTGTGATTTCTCCGTCTTCCAAAAGTACAGAAGTGGTAGATTCTGATTCTACTGGACCTTCTATGAATTTAGCCGACAAGCTTTCAAAGGTAGGGCCTCAAGTTGCTGCGAAGAAAGAAAGTGCAGCTAATAATCTGGCTGCAACTCCACAGTCTCCTGAAAAGTTGGCCTCTACAACCAGTGGCAGCTCAAATTTTTTGAATTTGATGCCATCTGTTACTTCAGCTGAAGTCCCAAAAGCACTTGCCTCAAGCCCTGATATGAACAAAATTGCAACACATGTATCTAATATGGTATCAAATACTCCAGAAAAGCAATCTGCAGCAGTCACACCATCCCCAACATCTCCTGAAGTTGGAGGTACAGCTGGTGGAAAGAGTGATATTGATGCTACTGTTGCCCAAGAAGATGAAATGGAGGAAGTAGCACCTGAGACAAATCAAACTGCAGAGCTTTCTCTGGGAAGCCTGGCTGGATTTGGTTTAGGATCAGCACCCAATGCTACAACTCCCAAATCTAATCCATTTGGCGGTCCAATTACTAGTGCACCACAAACTATGTCGAGTTCAATATCTCTAAATGTTCCTTCTGGAGAGTTGTTCCGCCCTGCATCTTTTAGTTTTCAATCTCTGCAGGCTTCCCAACCCTCACAGTCCTCAAATACAGGAGCTTCTTTTGGTGCATTTGGTTTTGCGAATCCACTTCAGCAGGTTTCCTCGGGAAGTGGGTTTGGTCAGCCATCACAGATTGGCTCAGGACAACAGGCTTTGGGGTCGGTTCTTGGTTCATTTGGACAATCAAGGCAACTTGGTGCTGGCTTACCTGGCAGTGGTTTCGGAATTCCTCAATCTCCAGCTGGTGGTTTTCAAAATACAGCCACAGTTGGTGGATTTGCAGGCATTAGTTCTGTGGCCAGTGGCTTTGGTGGCGGTTTTGCTAATGCAGCTACTATTGGGGGCGGATTTGCTGCCGCAGCCCCTAGTGGAGGTGGATTTGCTGCTGCAGCTCCTAGTGGAGGAGGATTTGCGGCTGCTGCTCCAAGCGGAGGAGGTTTTGCAGCTGCGGCCCCAAGCGGAGGTGGGTTTGCTGGTGCTGCGGGTGGGGGTAAGTTTCCTGAGAATACTTCTGGCCTCTGCACCTCATAAAGTTTTTTAGCTGATTAATTCTGTTTGTATTTTGCAGCTGGTGGATTTGGTGCTTTCGGTAAACCAGTGAATACTGGATTTTCTGCGTTTGGTAGCAGTGTTGGAGGAAGACCTGCACCACCAGAGTTATTTACGCAAATGAGAAAATAGTTCGCAAGAATGGAAACAGTGGTAGACCTCTGAAGCTGATTTGTGAGCGGCTGAGCCCGTGTATATTCAGAGTTCCTCATGAGGATATTACCTTTTTTGTGATCCTACTGTTTACTGTAGGCTTTTGTTATAGTGATTAAAAAAGGTTGCATGTAATTTGGAACAAGTGAATGTGCTTATTGCCAGCAAAGCAATATCAAGCAGTCATTATATCAAGCAGTCATTTAATTAAAATTAACTTCTTGTCCTTGTACTTTCCTTAATGTCCCTTGCTCTTTAATTTTTCAAGCTACATCGTTTCAAGATGCTGTATCTCTGCATCTTTGAATTATACAACTAGTTAGGGATATGTCACACACATAGCTTGGATACCACTTTATAGGTGTTTTTTTGGGATAGGATATAGTCAGTCAAGCATACAATACAATATGCAAGGGTAAAATTACCCAAATATGACATTTCCCCAACAAAAACAGGGCGTATACATCATAATCAACCAAATTTTCCAAGGTTACATTGGTGGTTAGTTTTGCTTGTAACATTTTTTGTCCTGAACTGGCAAGCTTTGTTCCAATATAAATCATTAATTATCTAAACTTTTTAAATTCCTGAGAAGCTCTGGGATGTCATAACCCAGCATCTCATCAACAGCTTGGATCAATTTCGGTTTCAACTTCTCAAATTTGTCAATGTTATAATCCCGGAGAACTTCCTGAAAATGCTCCACATTCGGCAAATCCCCTGCTGCTAAGTGGTACTCCCTTTGGACCTAAGCAAAAGAAGAAGTTTAGATCTCGATTCACAGAGGGAATAGCATAAACTAGTAGCAGATATCATGCATACAAAAAGAGGAAGAGAGTATAGGGCAAGAAACCTTTCTGAATTCAACTTCCAAGTTCTCAATAAGATTCTCTTGCGCCTTGGCCTTGCCTATCAAAACAGGCATCTCCTTCTTCAGATGACTGATGATAAGAGCGTGAATCTTAGCTGCCCTAGCACGCTTTACAAGTTCATTAACCTGGAGATCAAACAACCGCATAAGTATCTGTTTTTTTGTTGTGTATTTCACAATTAAAATATCATATAGCAGTTTATTGCTAGGAACTTCAATGATTTCAATGCCTGCTACAAGTTCACAACGCGAGCTAGCAACCTAGTGGCAAATCACATTGTCATTTCTAACAATAGCACTGATTGTGATTGATTCATAGTCTTTATCAAATGAATTCAGCAAACTTACTCTTCGATTACAAGCATTCTTTGGAATGTCTTTTAGATCAGCAAGAAGATCACTCTGTTCCTTTAAGAAAAGATCCCGTCCCATTGGACCAGCAACTGCTTCATTTAAAGGCCCATCATTAAAAGAGCTGCATAAAGACTAAATTATGTATCCTCATGAAATTAATTGAGCATTATGGCTCATAAACATGTGAGAAGCTGTAAGAGCTTAAAGAGCTAACATATTTCATAAGCACTTCAATTTTGACAAGATAATTCAAGTCCCATATTGAGCTCAACTGGATGAAGCTTACCCAATGTAAACACGAGTAACCTCAGGAGTGTTTAAAACCTTCCCAAGTGACCACATCAATGCCCCATAAATCCTCATCAACTGCCGCATACCCAAACAGGGATTGAGATAAAGAAAAAAAACACGAAAAGAATTAATTAATCAACTAATTGCAACCCCACTGAGCACTTCAAAGGACAAAATTATACTGTATTTTGAATTTGAACTTGCCATTCACCTGCTGAGTGTCCACTTGATCTGCCTTGTTCAAAACAACACGTATCTTATCATCATGGCCTTGTAGCGATGAAATCACACGTTTGAATTCATCACTAATATCAAGTTTGTGGGGATCAAAAAGGAGCAAGATGAGGTCACACTTGGCAGCAAACCAAGATGTCACACCAGTGAAGTCATAACTCCTTTCTATTCGTTGCTTCTCACCTGATAATACCCCAGGGGTATCAATGAGAGTCATATGCTCCAAAAGCTTTAAGATAAAACAATAGAAAGTTCACTTCCTGGTACTGTACATATTGAAGATGTATAAGTTGATAAATGTTGCAGGCAAACTCACTGGATGTGGCATCTGGGAACACTCAAATTTCGACAGAAACGCAGACCCAAATGTCGTAAGACCTTTGTATGGCATGTCTTCTTGAACAGATATTGTGTTGCCCGGTATACGTCTTTCATAAGGGCCAGACTGCAAAAATCCATATCAGATTAACCAAGTAAAAAAAAAAAAACCTACAACAGCAATTACTCAACCAAAAAGAACAGGAGGAAATTCAATCTTTGAGCACTACATTATGATCAAGAATAATAATAATTCTTTACCATAATGACAATAAATCTATCTGTGGTTGGCTCTGGCCCGACATGTGCTCCTGCAAATAACCAGTAAAGGAGGTATGTCAGAAATGGTATTACCACTACACAATTTGAATTAGACCAATGGAAAAGAGAAAAAGCAGTATATAACTACCAGGATAAGCACTTTTTAGCAAGTGCTTGATGAAAGTAGTTTTCCCAGTGGAATACTGTCCAAGAAGCATGACCATAGGTTTTGCATCAAAATCACTATTTGTCTGTGGCACAGAAAGGGAAAGAGAAAATGATAAGATAATGAAATAGGCATTTGAGAGAATAAGTAATCAACTAGCTTTATCACTACAAACACACAAAAAGGAGAACAAGTCAATAAACAGAAAATTGGCAAATCTTGTGTCTTTAGTCCCTTACTAACACGGGTGATGCAAAATCGTTAAATTGATAAGTAAGCTCTAATGGCTTCAGTTTTTGTTCATACAACCTCTTAAGACCATCATATATAGATGTCATGGTAGACAATTGTTCCTGAAAAGTGTACCCAAAAAATGATCAGAGAACTTGGTCCAATTTAATAATTAGAAATGCAAGCATTAACTGAAAAGCAGGAAAAAAAAAAAAATCAGAAAAAGGAAATAACATGACCCTATGGCTAAAAAAAGCACAAACATAAAAGATAAAAACAGATGCAAGAAGTTCTGAGGAGTGAAAAGGATTGTCCCAGCTCTAAAAAGTAAAGACAAATATTGTGACTTTATAATTCCATATCTGAAATACAAAATTACGGAGTACTTGCTTAAATCAGGCATCAAAAAATGTTTCGCCTTATCGAGCACATGCTTCCGATTATCTAATAAGCATTCTCTAGCTAACAATCTGACATCAAGCATCAAATACATGAAAGCCTGAGTCAAGCATAGATTTTTATTCTAAAAATTCACAATATACACAATATGAACTTTTGTACTTAAGTTTTGTGAAGATTATACTAGCTGCTTCCTAATTTTATCCAAGCTTATCCAAGGAAATGACAAATAATAACAATTTCTTACCATATCACGTTGACATAACTAAACACAGGTTTGTCAATCCTTACCCTCTTATCCTTGAACTGTCTACCAATTTGGCAAGGGTTTGAATAAATGGTTTTCATCATTAGCTTGGTGGCACAGGCGCACAGCAGTGTGTGCATGGCTGGCTTCAGAAACCAGCTACTCATTCAGTATTGGTCTATTTCTCCCTAAACAATAGGACAATCTATGATTAACCCAAATATCTGGGGCCCAAGTCAACTCCCAGAATTATAACACCGCAGCACAGACTTCTGCCTCTTTTTTAAATTGATCTTTTATTTGCTGTTAACATTGTTTACTAAAACTTAGTGTGTTCCTTCCAAGAAACTTTGAACTATATCTTGCAATTATCTACAAATTTGCTCTATCTTCAGAAATCCCAAGCCCTTGAATGCTGCATCCTCTTTTACTAATTGATTCCAGTCTCACACTCAATTGTTCTTTTCATGCATAAAGTATCCTTTACTCCCATAATACAAGGACAAACCCTTCAATAGATCAACATTTTTTTGTTATTCCTATGCCTTTCTCCAACAAAGTTTCTGCTTCCTTTAACACATTCATAGCTAATTTAGCTCCATCAACCTCAACTATTAATTAAGTAAAAGCTTGTGAACATTACTCAAATATGAGATTTACCTGAAGCCTGAAGTTCTTCCATGCCACACCTACCCTTTTTGCATCAAATAAAGTATACCTCAACAGAGGCTATAGAGCTAACTTTCCACATTATTGAGTTCAAACAAAATTGTTGATTAGAGAATTGGACTACCAACCCTTGGGTCATAGGCCTCATAGCTGATGAATATGGTCAAGAACTCAAGACACACAAGTACTTTCCTAGTCGAAATATTTAAGCATTCTCGCTTCTTTCTTCCCTACTACCCCAACAGATAATATATAAAATGCTTCTACAACTTTGCAATAAACACTATACAATCATCGACCAATGCCATAAGTAGCTTCTATTACTAGAAATTATCAATAACCAAAAGAGTTGAAAATTAGGCCTTTTACTCGAGCAATAAACCCATGCAACCAAGTTCTCTTCAACTGGACAACTTTTCAAAGAATAACCTCATTAATAATTTGATACTTACTAACCCATCCCAAAATATGTTGCATGTTCAGAGCTTGTGAGGGTTACTGGTTTTAACTACTTGCGCCAAAAGCGAAAAAAAAGAAACTTTACGACAAGGTGTAGAAATTAATAACCCTATGTCAATAAACCTTTTTCCTAATCTTTGTTAGCACAATGTAGGGAAGATGAATGTGGATGTATCGAATTTCCACTTTCGTAATGGTAATTGACCAACACTCATACTAGTAGTCTAGAACAACGGAACGATAACTCTATTGCGATACAAAGAAGATGCAATTACTCTTGGTTGTTCAGCCAGGCTAATACACAATAGTTTGTATTAGTTGTATATATGTGATTATTACTATTGAATCTCTTAGGTAAGACACTCTATTACTCATTTAACACTACTAAATATTGGAAATTTATTAAGACTTAACATAAATTCACCAAATTATACACAAGCACAATTTTATATATATGTTCCAACATTTTTCCTGTGAATATATCTAGATTTTTATTTATTATATGATTTTTAATAAAAATCGGATGATCTTTAAATTCGTACTCTTAATCAAGTTTAAAATCAATCCAAATTTCCGGATTGAAATTCACATTATAAAAACCATAACATTCTTCAATTAAAATTCAGAACACCAAAACTTTTGAGTCAATATTACAAGTATAATTGAATTGCAATGAAGAAATTGAGGAAAATAAAAGCCCTAGAAAAAGTGAAACCAAAATTCAACAGAAGAAGGAGAGCATACCTCGTCGGGAATGTTGGAGAGAGAGTGGAAGCCATTGGAGCGAGGACGAAGAAGCTGATTGTTGTAGAAAGTTGAAGAAGAAGAAGAAGGAGGAGGAGAGAGAAAGTAGAAGCTTGGACATTGAGGTAGAAGCTTTAATGGCGATCTTCGAAGAAACATTGATGCTGCCATCTTTGCAAACTTCCCAGAATCTGGACAAAGGAAGAGAAAGTGAGGAATTGTTATTCTTACACTTCATAAAACGGTGCCGTTTACTGATTTATTGACAAAGAAGCACAAAAAACCATTTTTTTTTTAAAGGAAAACGGTTAGGCAGACATATTATTGTGAGAACGAGTTCAAACAAAATATTGAATCCTTTCCCTGAAAAAAAAACATAAAAAATTGAATCCAATCTAACTACCTAAGACTGTGATTTTGTTAAATAAAAAAAAACTAAGATAGTGATTGTTTGGGGGTAAAATTACCCCAGCCACGTGGCCCAATGGCAGCGCGACACGTGGCATTTTGCTATTGTTCAGCAGGGCTTCAATCCTCTGATGACACGTGTCCTAGGAACCCTAAATGGGGAACCAATGCTCCCCACTATAAATAGTGGGAGAGTCCCCATTAATGGGACACTTACATTCAATTGGTATTCAATACAATCAAAACTACAATTTACACAAAACCCGAGCAATCGTAATTGCGGAATTCTCCCATTACGCGAGAAGTAATTACCCTTTTTAGGCACTTTCTTCCTCCCGTACAATCACTGACTTGATCGTCGGAGGCGGAGCTCCACCCAACCGAGGTCTTCGTGGTTTTGCAAATACAGACGGTCGAAGGGCATTCTTGGAATTGTAACTCTCCCGCAGGACACATAAAAAAACCCCGAAACATTTGGCGCCGTCTGTGGGGAGAGTACTTCTGAGATGGCTTCTAACCCAGTACCACCGGATCTGGACAGGCGGCCATCGGCTGAGCCTGAGGTCCAGACGGACCATGAAAGCTAAACCTGGGCATCGTGCCGGGCCGTGCCGCCGCGGGCCGTGCTGGCGTGCCCAGGAATTCATGTCGTGCCGTGCCGGCCATTCTCACAGGCCAGCCCACGGCACGGCACGACCCTCGTGCCTGGCGGGCTCGTGCCGTGCCGGCCTGCGGGCTGGGCTGCGGGCTGGTGGCGGGCTGGCAGTTTCCAATTTTTTTTTTTTTTTTTTTTTTTTTTTTTTTAGTGACAACATTATAAGTTTATAATGTATATAAGTTATAAAATTATAATTATAAGTTTTATAAGGTTATAACTTATAAGTTTATAACTTATAAGTTATTAAGTTATGAATTTTATAATTATAAGTTGAATATTTATGTTTTATAATTTTGTATATTCAATATTTATATTTATATATTTACTTTATACTGTTACTTTAAAATTTAATGTTTATGATTTATTAAATATAATTTTGTATTAGTAATTGGTATAATTTTATTTTTTTTAATATGAATTTACAAATTGTAACAAAACGGGGAAAAAAGGCAAATTGGACTTTGGATGTGAATAATGCGTACTTTATATTATTATTACTTGAGTTGAGAAAATTGTACAATGATAACAATGATAAAAATCATACAATGATGGTATTAAACAAAAACTGAAAAATGATAAAATTGATATTTGATAATGATTAAAATCGTACAATATACAATAATTGTCTATTCTTCTTCTCCTTCTTCTTGCTCGTCTTCGTCTTCGTCTTCGTCTTCGTCTTCGTCTTCGCCTCCGCCTTCAAGGTCATCGGCTAGTTGCATAGATTGGGAACTAGCCGAACCCGAACCGGAAGCGGAGGTTCCTTCTTCGTTGTCGTTGTGGTCGTAAGAACAGTCTTGTGAGCGATTTTTCGCATCCAACTAATCTTTGAAACACACGCACATTTCTAGTGTTTCGGGTTTTAGACTTGTTCTTCTATCGTCTAAAACCCTTCCGGATGCGCTGAAAGCTCGTTCGGAGGCGACGGAGGAAACTTGGATAGCAAGAATGTCTCGTGCCATTGCCGCCAAAGTTGGATGCTTCGAGCTTTGTTGTTTCCACCATGCAAGGAGGTCGAGGCTGTTTATCTCATCGTCGTCCATGCCTTTGGTGAAGTCGTAACTCAGGTACATCTGCAACTCCGAGATGTCGCTTTGCGTTCTCCTGATTGATGAATCACCTGAAAACCTTGAAATCAAGTTAGTAGCTTGTGAAAATAAATGTTTGGCCTTCTTACTTACGTTTTTGGATGGTTGGGAAGGCCCTGAGCGAGGAACGGTGCCATATTTGGCTTCATAGACTCTATATAAAGCAAAAAACTGATCCTTCACATTAGTATTATAGTTTTCTACATCATCGTCAAGAAACATTATTGAAAGTAAATGTCAACTAACATAAATGTGTTTTCATACTTTTGCCTAGGATCTAATATGGAAGCAAAAATATAAATCAAAGGAATTTCACTATAATATTTACGCCACTTTGTTTCCATTGCTGGAAGATACTGATTATAATCACTTTGATGGCGATGATCAGCGAAAAGTTGGGCGAGTAAGCATGCATTAGAAAGAAAGTTTTGAGCACAAGGATTGTAAACAGTAGAAAAACAATACGTCATGTTATATAATAACTGTAAAAATTGCATATATCTTTCACAGTTATTCCAATCATCATCATACAAAGCATTTTGTGGAAATTTTTGGTTGTAAAATAATGTTAACGGGCCCTTGTACTCAATTGCCTTTGTTAACATGTCATAGGTGGAATTCCACCTAGTTGGGCAATCGGTTCTAATTTTTATTACCCTTATCTTTTGTTGTTTTAAAAAACTCTTCCATTCTTGGTATCTCATGTTAGAGCTATTAATAGACATAATAGCATCTCTGATTTTGCTGTAGTATGGGCCAATTGCCCGAACTCCATCCTGTACACATAAGTTAAGTACATGGCAAACACATCTAGTATGAAGAGCTTCACCGTCTAATAGTACATCGATTAAGTTTTGTTTGATAAGATTAGCTGTGTATGTCATAGAGGTTGCATTATCAAAAGTCATAGACATCATTTTATCTCGAAGGTTGTATTCGTCTATTGCTTGCATTAAATGGTGAGCAATGTTAATGCCGGTGTGTGGGTATTCCAGCATTTTGAAATGTATTATTCTTTTTTGTAACAACCATTGATCATCTACCCAATGGCAAGTCACACATAAATAGTGATATTTATAACCACTATCCCAAGAATCGGCTGTTAAAGATACTCTACAATTAAGGTTACTCAATTCGGCTTGTAACCGGACTTTGTACTCTAGGAAATTTTTCATTGCGACGGAACGAACGGTTTTCCTAGAGATTCTTTTATGTTGGGGTTGTAGTGCTTTGTTAATGTAGGTGTTGAATGCGTCACTTTCCGATAAAAGAAAAGGTTGTTCGGCGTGTACTATCATTTTTCCTAGTTCATCCCTATCCTTCTCATAGTTGTATGTAAAGCCGTATGGATGGAATTGGGAAATTTTGGGCTGGGTTGGATCACTAGCTGGTTTTGCACAAGCTTTCATGTGTCTAATTAAGTGTCCCGTCCCGTTTTTGGTAAATGCCGTGAATACACCATTACATGTTTTACATTTTGCATATTGTTGACCCTCTTTATCTAGGACAAAATAATTCCATACCTCACTCCTTCGGTTTTTCAAAAGTACCATCTCACTTTCGGTTAACCATTCATGATGTGTGTCTGCGTTAGTAATGGCAGTAGAAGGGGTAGAACCGGAGGGAATTCGGGTACTTTCTTGGCTACCTTGGCTAGAACAATAGTTTTGTTGATCACCGATATAATTAGGTGGAAATTCACCGAATTGTGGGAATTGTTGTGGATTTTGATATTGGTTTGATGGTGGAAATTGGTTTGGTGGTGGTGGTGGAAATTGGTTTGGTGGTGGTGGAAATTGGTTTAGTGGTGGTGCTGGAAATCCCGACATATTATATGGCTCATAACCCGGGGGGAAGTAAATGGGGTCATTGGTTTGACTCGAAATTTGGGGGCTCGTTGTATTTGGTGGTTCCCTAGAACTACTACTACGGGTAAGTCGGCCTTTCGCCCTAGACCTAGATGATGGGTTGTTCGATGCCATAATTAACAATTAATTTTTTAATAAAAAGTGGTTAACTATAATAATAATAATTAATAACAACAATTTTAACAATAAAAATATCAATAATAATAATTAATAACAACAACTATAACAATAACAATAACAATAACAACAAAAATAAATAATAACAACAATTGTAACAATAATAATAATTAATAACAACAATTATAACAATAATAATAACAATTAACAACAATAATAATTAAATAAGATTATTCTAATAATAACAATAAAACAATAATAAATTTAAGATTAGTTTAGATCTTACAACCGTGCTTCAACGCTCCACTAATTACGATTACGAACTTTTTAATTTTTTCCGATATTAGGAAAATAATTAGAGAATTTAAGAGAATAATTAGAGAATTTAAGAAAATAAGGATTATTAGAGATTTAGAGAATATAAGAGATAAGAAGAAGAGATTGTGATTTTGTGATTTGGGAATGAAATGAAGGTGGGTATTTATAGAATTTATGGGGAGCAAATTGGAAAAAATATAGCCGTTAAGTAGCCGTTTATTTGGCTAATTATGCAACTAGCCGTTGCTTTTAAACGGTTATATGACCGTTGGCCCGCGGGCCAGCACGGCGGGCCCTGGCTGTGCTCGTGCCGGGCCGTGCCTGGGAATTCATAACCCTATCCGTGGCACGACTCGTGGCACGAAGTTCAACTTCCGTGCCGTGCCATGTTGGAGTTCGGGCCGTGCCGGGCTGCGTCGAACGGCGGGCCGTGCCGGGCGGCACGCGGGTCAACCCGGCCCGTGCCCTGTTTTAATGAAAGCGGTGATGAGTACGACCTCAACACCTATGTGGCCCCAGACAGGTCCTTCAGAACAAAGCACAGCCGTTCCAGGGATAAGAAGGAACGGGAAAACATCCAAGCTGTTCCAAGCAACCCAGCCGGCAACATGGTTGGGGCTGCCCAGGCGGCAGAGGATTCTGCTCCCATTACTAGGAACGAACTCATGACCTTCATGAATAGTTTCAAGGGTGAGATCCAGAACCTCATCCGGTCGGCTACTCCCAAGAAGAGTCAGCCGGCCAAGAAGCCTTCTTCTAGCAAGAAGGCTATTAAAGACCGGGGTTCCTACCCCTCATCCAAACCCGAAGGGGGAGGGCCTCAAGTTCGATCAAAACCGGCTCCGCTTCCCACAAGCGGAGCTCAGAAAACCCATCCGACACTTGCAGCCGGATGGTTCAAAAAAGATATTCTCTGACTCCCGAACGTTTCTCCAAGAAAAGAGAAGTCTGGCGTCTGCGTCGGCTTCAACGTCGACCTT